GCAAAAAAGAAAGATTCCGAGAATATAGAAAATCGTTCCTGGTGCGTTTTTTCGAAATGAGTTTCCGGATTTCGGGCACGAAAACTTACCCATACGCCGGCAGATTTAACCTCCTGGAGCTGTTCATGGAACTCGGGAGCTGTATATGCGCAGAGATTCCGCAAGATTCTCGCTGCACTGGACCGAACCCTCGGCTTATCCAACGCTCGGACGAGACCCGGGATAACGTTTAGCTTCAGAATCTGGTGGCAGTTGTTTCGGCTTCCTTGAGCGAGCATGGCTATGGCGTCGCCTGTAGAAACTCTGATATCTCTTCGATTCTCGGCAATGTCATCTTTCAGGAAAATGCATACAAGCTCTTTCAGAATTCCGCCAGTTCCACCAATTCTCTCGGTTGCACCTTCGTCCAACGAAAGGAACGTCAAGATTTCCGTCCCGAGTTTCTGCAGATCGGAATGTCTCTCTCCATGTCGGAGTATCTCCCGAATGTTGCAGACAGTGAAGACGACACTCGAGATATCTCTCCTCAAGCTCTTACCAGTCGTCCCTGTCGAGCTCACGAGCTTCTTTATTAGCTTCAGGGACCGTTCCACTGCCAAGATTCGAGATTCCGCGGGATTCGGATTCTCTAAAACCCGTTTTTCGGCGTGAGTGAAATCGATGATCTTCGAAATCAGCCCTCTCGTCTTGCCAATCTTTCCGCAGTTGTCGTGGTCCCGAGCTAGCCTTTTCAGTATAAGCAGTCCAATATTGCTGAACATCCATGAATCGTAGCTTCTCTCGCCGTGATTGATCTTCCTTTCTCCGATCTCATCCATGGTTTCGCTCAAGATTCTCGTACTTTCGAGAAGAGAAGATATCGATTCGATCGCACCTGGAATTCCCGCAACTCTCAAGCAATTCTTCTTCTTGCTCGCCAATCTTGACAGAATCTCTGCAGCCAACAGCCTGATATCTTCCTGTTGCGGGTTTTTCCAGTTCAAGATCTCTAATAACCTCTCTATCGTCTCCGAGTTCATCCCGATCTTCTGCAACGTATCGGATGCGTAATCCTCGTTCTTGGAGAACCTGCAGAGGATCTCGGCTCCGATCAGCTGTTCATCCGGAGAATTCGATTCCAAGAGCTCCATAGCGAAAGACACCATATCCATTTTCAACCCGTCAAAAATGCTGCCATTGATACACCTTGAATAGGCATCGTAGAAGAATCTCCTTATCGCCATCGTTCCGAATTTCTCGAGCCCGCATTCTTCGTTCACATTCTCCAGAATCTTCGAGACGCTTACCTTCCATTCCCAGTAAGCTTTCTCGACGAGGAAGAGCGATGCTTCTGCAAATGCCAGAGCGTAAAATATGGTGAGTGCAGAGTAAAGATTCGTCTTTTCCGGACCGTTGGCCCCATAGTTCCTCTTGATAAGCTTCATCAACGAGAGAATGACACAGGTTGAAGCAGACAGAAGCTGAAGGAAGTAGAAGACTTTGCTGACGTTCTTCGGGACAAAGATCCAGCCCGGGTATGGTAATATCGGAACATCTGAACTCTTCCATGTTCTTGTATGTGTCAGCATTGCAGAACTCATCTGTCCTCGGGCTGTTTCTTGAGACATTCCCTCGGTTCGATCTCTCCCTATGTTGAGATTCCGGTGGAAAAAATCGATTACTTGTTTGACAAGAAACCTGGAACTGGATATCAGAGAACGGAAGCTGTTGATTCCGGTTATGGTGTACGTAGACTGATGCTGGAACTCGAGCTCATGGCTTCGGCTGAAGATCCGAGCCCCTTCGATCACCAGAATCACGCTGACGATCCAGAAATCTGTCGTGTCTAAACTTATGGCGAATCCGCCGAGAAGAACGACAGTTGCCCAGACAAAACCCAGAGATCCGAGACGGGTAGCGAACTGTCCGATCGAAAACAAGAATCAGATATCATGAAAAACGTTGAAGATCGAACGGAAAAGATTCTGAATTTCGAACCTTTTCGAGAACCGCAAGTCGTAAAGCGAAGAGGGTAAGTTTCTTCTCCGGCGCAGGAACAGCCGCTGCAGAAGTAGGAGGTCCCACAGGTTCCGGGCTCTGAGCTCCGACAGGTTCTGGTCGGAAAATTTTCCCGGAGGAACCTATCTCTCCCACGTCCAATCTCATCTCGGTGATCTCTGAATCATGAATGCTTCGATCTTCGTCTGGTGACGAATTCCCGCCATGATCCATTTCGGTGCAAAAACCAGAAACCAAATGCTTTGTTTTTTTTTTTTTTTTTTTTGGACCGAAACCAAAAACCAGATTCTTGATCTTTGTTGTTGTCTCTTTTTTATATGATCGATTATGTACGAAAACGCTTGTCTTTTGAAATTAACATGACTTAACAAATTTATATTTTTGGACCGAGTTTTGGAATTCACCGAAATATATATATAACGTCGTGAATGAGCTTTGGTTGTTTAATTTTATGTAAATAAAATATTTAAAAAATATTCCCTCATGCAAATGGGAGATTCACCATGCACGTCTTTGAGCCATTGACTTTGAGACAACCTTAATTAATCGGATCATATATGTGTGTAGAATTATTGAATTATTTGTAGGTTTCGTAAGCTAATCATTCTATCATGATATCGGTGGAAAATTCCAAACATCTTGTGATTATTATTATTATTATTTTCTCCAAAGGAAACAAGAAGAAGAGAAAGTCCAGATATCGTGGAAGGCTTAGCAAATCTAATGATGAATATTTAATAATTAGAGTGAATTAATCTGTTTGTAGCAGGTTTAAGATGCATTAATCAATTTTGTAGAAATCAATACCCCAAGAAAGTATTTATAACCAGATATGGTTCACGTACGGAATTAATTAATTGTTTGGAGTCACTAAAACATAAAACGAATGGATGATTACAAATTCTTGAAACTATCATTAGATAAAGGAAATGATAATTGGTATTAATGATAATAACAGATTATTTTTTAATAAATATAAAAGGATCCCTTGGAAGCATTTGTTACGCACGTTGATTGCAACTCGAAGGAAACGTCGCATTTTCTATGGATTATAATCGTACGATTAAATAAAAATAAACAGCAAGTACTGTACTTAAATAACCTTTTAATTCATTTCTGCGATATATATATATACACACACATATACTTAGAAGGAGAAAACGTCTTTGAATGAGTTTGATTTCGTGCTCACCTGTATATATCTGCTGTTTCGTTTTATACTATACCAAATCTTTTTTAGTATTTTTATATTTTGTTTATAAAATATTTTAAATCAAGTACGTCCAAATATTTAAATTTGTGCTCGCTGTAACGCTAACCCAACTCGCCACCGGTTTTGGCTGAGACTGTTTCGAGAAATATCAAGAAAGTGTTTGATATGTGACATTTATAACTTCTTTTTTTTTTTTTATAATAGGAGGATTGACGTCTTCTTTTTTTTTTTAACGGAGTAACCACCACGACTTTTCGGGTGCAGAGACAGATCCTATGTAATAGCCGTCAAAATCATGTGGAACAGGTAAACCGGTCGAAACTGACATACTCAGAGAGAAATTCATTCATGTTCTGGAGGGTTGAACCCATGACGTCCAACTGTATCAACCAAAATATCTGGGTGAATATCTCTCTCCATATTTGAATTTGAACTCGAAATAAAAATATACTTTACATTTTATTTTACCAATATACCACCAAACTTGGGTAACATTTATAACTTTGGTTGCATATAACTTATTTTCTCGACCCTATCCTCGTCGCATTTAGAATTTTTGGACCGTCACAATATCTACATGACATTTATTAGTTTTGCTATAACTTGACCACCTTTGCATACAAGGGTGTTAATTTAAGTCCGAAGCTCCAAGCCTTGTTCGAGAATACTAAAAAATATCGGATTTCAGGCTTGAATTTGTCGATCCGAAAAAAATTGAACTTTTAGGTTGGATTTAAATAGTGTTTCGGGCCAAACAAAAGCTCGATTTAATTTAAAAAATAAAATAAATGTGACAAATATTTTAATATATAAATAAGGGTATTAAACGGGTCGGACGGGGCCGAACCTGGACTCGAGTCCTATAAGATCGGGTTTCAGATTTGATTTTATAGACCCAAAAAAATTTGGACTCCTGCTCGTTTAACACCCTTTCTGGGGATGCAGATGGTAAGAACTAGGGGTGGCCATTTCGGTTATTAACCGAATAACCGAACCGAACCGAACCGAATAAGACATAACCGTACCCGAACCGAATCCGACATCAAAACCGAACGGTTATGATTTTCTTAAACCCGAAAAACCGAAACCGAAACCGAACAGAACCGAATAAAAAATAACCGAAAAAACCGAGAGAATAACCGACAATTTCTTTGGAAAATTGAACTTTTTACCAAAACCGAACCGAACCCGAACCGAAAAATAACCGAACCGAACCGAACCAGAATTTATATAAAAACCGAATGGTTATAGTTTTTCTATAACCGAAATAACCGAACCGAATAAAAAATAACCGAAAAAACCGAGAGAATAACCGACAATTTTTTTGGAAAATTGAACTTTTTACCAAAACCGAACCGAACCCGAACCGAAAAATAACCGAACCGAACCGAACCAGAATTTATATAAAAACCGAATGGTTATAGTTTTTCTATAACCGAAATAACCGAACCCGAATATAACCGAACCGAACCCGAACCGAAACCCGAATTGGCCACCCCTAGTAAGAACAATCGAAAAATGCAGATTTTGAACATATAATCATCAGAAAGTATTACAAAAAAAAGTCTCATATATTCAGAAAAATCATTCATATTTATTCATAATATGGTAAATGACAGTTGATTTTGTATATTATGGTTTGGAGCCATTTCTCATTGGAGCAGGGTGGCAAACCATTGCAGCATATCGTTGTGAGCTTCTTCCGCCGCTTTCACCGCTACCGGATCCGTCACGTTGTACCTTACGGTCCATCCGTGCTTCACGTTCGGGAATATCTTCACGCAGCTCTTCACCTGCACCGTTCTTAACGCTTAGATTTCCGGGTAATGGGGCGATGATTCATTCACAGAGCAAATTTGCGGAGATGCCCTGAAAAGAATCATCTTTTTTCACTCGGAATCAAGAACCAGATCAAGAAGAGCAAACCCACATCGGACTTGGCTGCAAGAATTTGTTCGAATTGCTTCAGGAGGGCGGGCGGAGAGCCGCCGTCGAACTCAGCTCCGAATATGGCCAGTGGAGCCTTCACCTCTGCCCCGAGAATCGGAAACAAACCCGATTGTAAAAGATTAGCATTTCCCGGGTGACAAATATTGTGGAATAATCCCTTAACGTTTTCATTCGATGAAGAGATTGAATCAAACTAGAAGGAAGACTAATCCTATCATGAGACTAAGTTACTCACCTATATATATCTCTAATACTGGGTTTATGTGTCGAACTGTCGATCATGATGGTTATAAGGATTTAGATATAATCCAATCATCGAAAGCTCTTACCCTTGATATCATCAACCGTGACGTAAGAAGGATGGAAAAACACTGCCGCTTGAATAAGATCGGTTTTTGCCAGTTCCACCACAACTTTCGCTGCGATAAACCAGGGGGGAAAACCGTGTTAGGCACTTTTCGAATACTTGGTAGCTCCACTGTTTCGACGCTTATAAATGGCTCAGGAAATATATCCGAGAAAGGGGAGAAAACGGGCGAGGCAACTGACTCACCGCCCCAACATATCCCTGTTGCTCCAATTGTGGTAATGCCTTTTCTCTTCAAGGCTTCGATTACTGGCTTTGAGTCGTTAAACCCCTTTGCCTGTAACATAAAAAACGATCTAAATTCAGAAAAGATTCATCAAACAACCGAACAATAAGACAAAACAGAACTGAAAACCCAACTAATCTTAGAAAGATCAAGCTACAGAATCTGAAGTAATAGGTGAAGAAAGGTAAACAGATATAGATTTGGACACTGTGTCGAATCTTGCAGTAAACGTTGAGATCAAAGAAGAAAACTCTGAACAGAAACATTTGGATTGTGAAAAAGTTTCGCAAGGAAGAGGGACAGACTGGTGGATGGTCTTTGATCCAGACAGGAACAGGACGTTTTTCCTTGTACTCGATCTTGTACGGATCTCCGAAGAAGTAGTCAGGAACCACCGCGTAGAATCCAGCAGCAGCAACCTTGTCGGCGATTTTCCTTTCGAACAGTAGAAGAAAACCATCATCAACAAATAGCCGTGAAAATCAAATCTCTGCATTCTACATTCCATTATTAGTTAAGAGTCAAGATTTCTTGTTTGGAACATAAATTTGGGACAATTTCTGATATTCATTCAGAATGGGAAACAGAGCTTTTATGCATAAACCAAATGAACACGAGGAATTTGGATTCAAAAAGCAACTAATCTTAAAACTGATATGCTAACCAGAAATCGTGATGAACCAAGCACACTGTCCAATAAGCTGAAATTGAATATGAACTACTAAACCGATCGGTAACCAGATTAAACCGAGACGGGATCTCTGATAGAACAGAACAAATGTGATCCATTTCCAACTAACCCAAATGAAAAGTTTCCAACTTTAATGCGTAATAATGTGCAAAATATCATCCCAAACAAAGCAGAATCAATGAGGGAAGATGAAGGTTTATGAACACCCGGTATAATCATGAAAGCAGAATCAATGACTCTCTAAGTCTATAATAACCCAAGGCATGTGTATGAAAAGACAGATCAGGAAAAACACGATTAAGACACCGATATTCCGCGGTAGAGCACTTGGGTCATGGTATTGAGTTTTCGCTCTCTCGTAGTCGGATTCCTGACCACCGACGGAAGACAACCGAAGAACGACGTGATTCCAACCGATGTTTATAATCGATCCTAACGGGTATGTGTTTCGGATTTCGAATTCTTAATTTTCTTACAGAAGAAGTTGCAGTACCTGAGGTTTGGAGCTTCATATCCTGTAGAACAAATTTGGAGAAAGTAAAATTTAGGGAAGAGTAATGAAACAGTTCAAAGAAACAGGCAAATCATCAAGAAATGGATCCAAGCCTCAAACGTCAAACCCATCTGGATAGAACCGTGAATCTTCCTTATTAAATTGCTTAAAACGAAACTCAAGAATCCACCTTTTGAGTAAAAGGTTTTGACTTTACATCCACGAAAAGGAAAAAAATGGAAACTTTATGCAAAAATCCAAACAAAGACCGGAATCTGGTAATAACCCACGATTCTGACGATGGATTGACGAACAAATCATAAGGAATCAGAGGGTTAAAACGACGAATATGAAGAAGACGGAGAATGAGGTTACCATAAACATCAGAAACGAGGATGATGCCGCGCTTAGAATGGGAAGAACCGGAGACATAAGCTTTCAGACCACCAATCTTGGTCACGTGACCCGACCCGGAATTCGGATCCAGATTCGGCGGGTTCTCCAGGCATTGAGGGTTCGAAATTGTCCTCCGGGGACATAAAACAAAACAGAGGAGCACCAAACTCAAAAACTGTCTCATTTTTTTGTGTGTTCTTCTCAGCTTTTTTTTTTTTTTTTTTTTTTGGTTTTCGATGATTAAGGAGCCTTCTTAAATATGAAAGCTACGTTTTTGTCATTTCCATTGGTGTATGATTAGGGATTTAGGATAGAAGTTAAATAAAAATAGAAAAAAAAAGTCTTTTAAAAAAAATTAAGATTTACTCATTTTATACTATAAATATCCAAAACTCTTAAAAAAAATTCATAATTGATAAGTCCTAAAGGATATTGTGGATATTTGTGAAAAAAAAAAGATAATTATTATTTTCAGATTTTGTTTTTAATTATCTTTTCCTGCTTCCGTGCCTAATCCTATTTTCTGTTTATTTAGTTGTATTTATAGGGAACACGTTTTCCATTTTTATTACTTTGTGAAGTTTAAAATATTATAATATATGTATTATTGGTTGGCACCGAATGTGAATTGGTCAAAGTCAGATATTGGAAATAGAGAGAATTATTTTTCAAGACTCATACAGAAGCTTATCAAATACTGTTATATATATGAATGAATCAACCAAACAAGATTGAGCATTTATTGTAAAAGTATTTATATGTATAAAACACGTATATGCATGCATGTGCGCGCATGTTAACGTCTCTACGTCACAATTCAAGGAACTGTATATGAAGGCATAGATACACACACGTAGATATATATATATATATATATATTCGTAGTTATGGATAAACAGGTTGGTTGAACAAAATTCTTTAGTTTGTTTGCTCTTTGAATGAGTTTTAAGTCTTGGATCCTTATTTAATCAAATATTTTGGTCCGAATTTTCTAAGTTAGGTTTTCCTTTAAATTGAAAGATCTCGCATTCTATTACACAGGAAAAAAACCCTAATTAATTAATATTTTACTAATTAATTCTAATCCAAAACTTTTAAAAAGATAATATCCAAAAGACTCAAAACCTTAAAATAAAAACCGAACAAAAAAAAACGAAGTAGGGTTTCTTCTGGAATGAAACTAATTACTAAATACGAGTTCGAGCAAGACATAAAAGATGTCGATGATCAGACTAGTTCGACGGCGGCTGCGTTCTTGCGGGCGGTTTCATCGTCATCGTCCATGAACTTGGCCCAGACAGGATGAAGCTTCCAGACACGGTCGACCATGGCGTCGATGGGGACGTTCTTGGTCTCGGGCAAGAGGAAGAAGACGAAGAGAGCCATGAGGAGGATCCAGGCGGCGAAGAAGAAGAAGATGAAAGCCCTCATGCGGCAGAGCATAGAGAGAAAAGCCTGAGCGATGATGAAGGTGCAGATCATGTTGGTGCTGACCGCGCATGCGTAGCCTTCGGTCCTCATCTCCAGCGGAAAGGTCTCGCTCGGAATCAGCCATCCCATCGGGCCCCACGACCATGCGAACGCTATCACGAACATACACACCAACACCACCACCACTATCCCCATCCCCACTGTCAGCGTGTTCGCCTCCTTCAAGTATCCCAGCAGCAGGCCCCCTATTGTCACCTGCATGCCCAGTTGTTCAATAGAACGATCAATATATAAAGTCTCCACCTTTACGTGATGCGATTGGGATCTTGAAAAAGCATGGATCTTTACGTGTTATGTCCACTGAATCGTGAAAAAGTATGGATCTTTACGTGTGATGCGGCCAGAATCGTGGAAAAATACAGATCTTTACATGTAAATTAGGTATCTGAACAAATATTTACCTGCGAGATGAACATGATGACGCAGGCGGCGAGGAGCAAGAACCGGCGGCCGGCCTTGTCGACGGCGAAGATAGCGAGGAGAGTGGCGAGGACGTTGAAAGCGCCGGTTATTACAGAAGAATAGAGAGAAGCTCCGCTCTTCATGCCGACTGTCTGAAATAGGACAGGAGCGTACGTAGAACATGATGGAGTTGATCCCTGTAAACTGCTGAAACACCTGAAGCATCACTCCGATTACTAGCGGAGGCCAGTTCGAACGCTTCTTCGCCATCTCCCAGAACGATCCCTTCGCTCTCTCCGCCTTCTCGCATGCCTCTTTGATCTCCTCAAACTCCTCGTTCACTTCCTCCACTCCCCTAATCTTCTTGAGAGCCTCACGGCCCTTGGACTCGTGGCCTCGTTGGACGAGGCTCGTTGGTGTCTCCGGGATTACGAACGATCCGACGAAGAGAAGGACCGCCGGTAAAGCAGCCACACCGAGGGAGACTCTCCATCCGTGAGGGTGAAGGAACGAGGTGCCGTAGTTTACAAGATTGGCGATCAGGATGCCGATGGTGATGAAGAGCTGAAACATGATGTTCACCGATCCACGTCTCTTCACAGGAGCAACCTCCGACAGGAACAGCGGAACCGACTGTCGCATATACATAAAAGATCAAGAATCTGAATCAGTGAATACACAAAAAGATCATCGATCGAAGATTCAAAAGGAGGGAATCAAGGGTTAGACCTCGTTGCCGAATCCGACGCCAAATCCGAGGAAGATACGGCCGAAGATGAGCATCCAGAGGGACTGAGCGGAGGCACTGAGAGCGGCTCCGATGAGGAAGAAGATGGAAGCTAAGAGAATGGTGAGTCTCCGGCCGAACTTGGAGCAACACTTGGACGCTCCGAAGCTGGCAACGACCGCAGCAAGATAAAGAGAGGAAGTGAACAGCTGAAGCAACTGGTCGTCGAATTTGCAGTAGTTGTTCTCCTTCGCATGCATCTTCCTCTCGTACACCCTCGGGAAGAACTTTACCAGGAAGTCATTCATCGCCGTCACTCCTCCTGCGATTAGGGTTTCGGTTACTTGCGTGGAAAGTAAACAGAAACAAAAGCAGTGTACAATAACTGAAGAAACCAGTACCTGAGATGCCGATGTCGTAACCGAACATGAGGCCTCCGCAGGCGGCGAAGCACCAGCAGAAGATGACGTAGATCGAACTCTTCGATGTCTGATCCGTCCTCATCTTTGACGTGAAAAATCTCAGAACACAATTCGAAAATCCTCAGAGCAGACAGTGAACGTGAGTTTGAGAAGAAGAAAAGAGATTCTCGACGGTTTCGATCGAGGGGTGTGTGGTCTTATTTATAAGAGGCTTTTGCCTGATTTGACCAGGATTTGGATTTTAGGGTTTAAGGAAGGAAACGTACGTGGAGGATATTACAATTAGGAAACTAATTTTGATTAAGACTCCTAATTGCTCAACGATTAAGAAACCTGATATGGCTAGAGTTCGATCGTAGCTTTACAACATTATCTTCTCACACAATTTTTTTTATAATTATAGTTAACTTTGATTTACATGCTATGTCTTCCAAGAACAATTAAGGAATGAATGTTGTGAGTTATAATATAAAACCTTTAGAATTTCATTACCTAGATATTTGCTTATTTGAGCTCAAGTGGAAATTAAGATAAATACAAAATCACAAATTAATTACATATTTAATGGCTAATTGCTCAAGGATTAAGAAACTTGATATGGATAGAGTTCCAGCAGATTTACAACACTATCTTCATCACGCAATTTTTTTTTTTATAATTATAGTTAACTTTGGTTTATTGGCCAAGCTATATTTACCAAATAAAAATAAAAATTCAAATTCAATTTTTTTAATGTCGGTTTCTCTTAAATCTAAAGCCGTTTTTCCCTTTTTTTTTCCCTCTTAGACAGTAAATTCAAGTAATTAATCTACTGTGTTCATGAAGTTTAGTGTTAACTAAATTTTACAAAGGAATGAATATTATAAAACCTTTACAATTCCATTAACTAAATATTTGTTTATTTGATATTTAAAGGCTAATTAATTGGATGTAACCATGATTCCAATTACAAAAACTGTTAAATTTGCCATGAAAAGATTGTTTCCCAATTTCGAGCCGAATCACATGTGAAAGCGATATTATTAAGATCGTGATTTTGGGTCGATCTAAATTCCGTGATCTAATAACAAAAATAAAATTCGTGATTAGTTTTAAACCGTTCGATCTAAATTACAGATCGTCTCTCTCTCTCTCACCTTCTCTACCTATGTATATCTTCAATATGTGTATGCATATAATATAATCATTAATTATATGAAACAATTTATTTTTTTTATCTGTAACGTGTATAAAAACAAACTTGATATATTGAAAATAATAAAAACATAACATTTCTTATATTATAATACTACCGGGGAGAAAATCTCCTGGTAATCAATTCCTTCTCGTTGAGAATATCCTTTTGCAACCGATCGAGCTTTGAACCGTGGTTTCTCAACTCCTGGAGTACCTTGATTCCTTTTGTAGACCCACTTATAACCTATCACCCTCTGTTTGTTTGGTTTAGATACCAGTTTCCAGGTTTCATTCTTGTGCAGTGAGTCCATTTCTTCCTGCATAGCTGCTTGCCAAAGTTTCCAGTCTTTGCTTTCTCGAGCTTCAGAATAGCTTCTTGGTTCTTCAGAATCTATTCCTGTAGCTACATTCAACGCAAAAGACACAACATTACTACTGTTAGTGTTAGTTATGTACCTTACTGGAGGTTGTATCTGTCTTCTTTCTCTATCTCGTGCTAGTTGATAACCCTCCAGGTTTTGTGAGTCATCAGCCCCTGAATTTTCATGATCACTATCTTCAGATGAGTCTTCTGAAGGTTGATCCCTCTGTTCCTGGGTTCTAACTTCGTTTTCTTCACTAGCTCCACCTTGAAGTGTATTCCTTAATGCTTCTTCTCCTGAATCCAGCCTAAACTTGTATGGTGATAGGGACTTGATCATTATCTTCTATCTGTCTGGTAATTCTGTATTCTTCATCTAACTTTAGGTCCTTATAGACCATGTCTTCTCGGAAGATAACATCTCTGCTTATGTGGCATTTACCCTCATCTAGTAACCAGACCTTGTATCCTTTTATGCCTCTAGGATAGCCGATGAATATGCCTTTAGTTGCTCTTGGTTGCAGTTTGTTCTGTTTTACATGAACAAATACAACACACCCAAATCTCCTAAGATAATGATAACTTGGTCTTTTCTCAGACCATACCTGTTCAGGAACTTGGAAGTCCAGTGCACTTGATGGAGATTTGTTGATCAAATGAACTGCTGTGGCTGTTGCTTCTGCCCAAAACTTTTTTTCCAAGCCAGTTTCACTTAGAAAACATCTCACCTTGTCCATTATTATCATGTTCATGCGCTCAGCTATCCCATTTTGCTGTGGGGTATAGGCGCAAGTTCTGTGCCTCTCGATTCCGTTGTTTCGGCAGAATTCATTAAAGTGGTTGTTGCAAAATTCTAGTCCATTGTCTGTCCGCAAACACTTTAGTCTCTTGCCTGTCTAATTTTCTATCAGTGTCTTCCAATCTGAAAAACTTGCAAATGCCTCATTCTTGTTTCTCAGAAAGTAGACCCAAACCTTTCTTGAGTAGTCATCAATAATCGAGAGGAAATATTGTGACCCTGACAATGATGGAGTCACTGTGGATGATCCCCAAAGATCCGAATGGACATATTCTAGTATGCCCTTTTGTGGAATGATTTGTTGTTCCAAAACTAAGTCTGTGTGTTTTACCTAATACACAGGCTTCACAGAATTCCATTTTTCCTACCTTGGCCTTCTGTAAGTAACCTTTCTTGACTATGAGTTCCATGCCTTTTGGACTCATATGTCCCAGTCTCCTGTGCCATAAAGTTGTCTCGTCAGAGCTTGTGCTAACACTGTGGGCTGCTCCCACAACTGTCTCTCCTTTTAGAATATAGAGTCCTCTGTCCAATATGCCAACCATGATTACTAGCGAGCTATTCATCACTTCAGCTTACCTCCTTGTGCTTTGTATGCCAGTCCTTGAAGATCCAGCGAACCTAATGAGATTAGATTCCTTTTTAGCTCAGGAGTATATCTCACATTCTTTAGAACTTTCACTGTATTGTTGTGGGTTCTAATCCTTACAGTTCCTGTTCCTCTGATTTGGCATGAAACATTGTTTTCCATGAGTACCTTCCCACAGTCTTGAAGTGTTAGGTTTTCAAACCATTCTTCTCTTGGGGACATGTGAAATGTGCATCCGGAGTCCAACACCCACTGCTCTTTAGGTTCCAAATCTGAGATGCTCAGTTTCTAGAATTGACTGGGTAACTGCTGCTGCTTCGCCGATTTCTTTGGCCTGTTCTTCGAAATGCTTCTTTCTCGATCTGCAATCTCTTTTGAAGTGACCTTCTTTCCCGCAAAACCAACACTCTGTTTCTGACTTACTCCTTGATTTGGACCTTGATTTCTTCCTTGATTTATTCCCTGTTGAGTTCCTTTTTTCTGATCTTCCTCTAACTACAAGCCCTTCTGCAGTAGCTCTCGTCCCTTTTGCTGCAAGTTCCAGCTCTTTGGAATATGCGACACTTGTTATTTCATCCAAGGTGATAGTCTCTCTTCTGTTGTACCTGAGAGTATCCTTTAGCTGGTCATATTGGTCTGGCAGAGAATTCAACAGAATCAGGACTTGGTCTTCTTTTGCGACCTCTATTTTCAGATTTGAGAGATCATTAACTAGTTTCTTGAAGACATCAACATTGTCTTCTATTGACTTTGTAGCATCCATCTTGAAGTCTATTAGCCTTTGCTTCAGATACATCTTGTTTGGAAGTGATTTAGCCAGTTCCACCACGACTTTTGCTGAAATTAAGACCCGCGAGGAAAGAGCAAAAACAATGTATTAGAAATTTCCAAATGGTAACAGCTCATAAAAATTGCCTTTTGGACATTAATTTTACAGAAACCATAGTTTGGGGAGATATGTCCTTAAAAGAGACAAGATGAGAGCAAGTAACCAACTCACAGCCCCAACACATCCCTGCTGCTCCAATAGAAGTTATGCCTTTGCTCTTCAAGGCTTTAACTACTGGCTTTGAGTCCTCAAATCCCTTATCCTATACGATCAAATTAACTAAATTTGTCAAACAACGAACGTTAGCAAGAGTCTTCACGTGCTTTTGAGGGTTCGGGTTTTTATAACCAAAATTTTGATCCTTTTATGCATTCCATTGGATGAAATACAAATCCACATTACAATAAAAAAGCACCAAAACCTCACATAATCCACTCGGACAATGCATCTTGCAGTAACTGTTAAGAATGAAAGCTAGAAGACAGCTGCAAACAGAATCACTGGTTAGGGAAAGGAAAAGTAGCTTACTGCTCCATGGTCTTTTATCCAGACAGCGAGAGGCCGGTCCTGATTTTTGTTATCACAAGGATCTCCATAGAAATAGTCAGGAACCGCCACATAGAATCCAGATTCTGCAACCTTATCCGCAAGTTTCCTTGAGAGCAGAAGAAAACCGGGATCAATTGCCAGGAAAGTTAATCCATACAGTCAGTTGACCACAAATAAAGTGAAACTACGATAAGCTTCAAGTGAATCTAGGAGTCCCAACGTTTTTTAGGAGACGAAAGGCATGAAGGGTCGCTTAATAAACTCACTCTACAACTATTTGAAGCGATTCAACAGAAATAATTTATGAGTTTCATCATGTCCTGTAAAGACTAAAACCAGGATGGGCGGAAGTAAAATATCAAATTTGGCAAACAGTTTACAGAAGAATCTGAGATTCTGTTTCCCTCTGTAGATTACCCTAAGGAGGAATCTCGAGATATTTCTACACACCATGATACAAGGCACAGATTAGCTTTTAGGGTTTTTGTTCATTGACCTTCACTTCAGTACCATTAGATAGCCAATAAAAACCGCAGCTAGCATAGTTAGACACAACGAGTCTACAATCAAACTCATGTTTATTTGTATGTAGATAACGATATATTCAGAAATGATTGAGCACGAATACAGCAGTTGACTGATGTTACAAACCCATAAGAGACAAGAATCAATGTCTGCAGCCATATAGTCCGACAAAATTCATCATTTTCGAGTTAATCGAAGCAAAAGTTTCTGACTTTAATGAGAAACAAGATGACAAAACACAATCTAATGACCGAATCAAGCGGATAAGGACTCGTAGTACCTCAAGTTTGGAGCTTCATATCCTGTGGAAGCAATAGTTCAAAGAAACAGCCACACGGTCAACAAATGAACACAATGGAGAGAATGATGTGAAACAGAAGATTGAAACTGAGGCGGAGAAGATTCTAGCACATCTTACTGAACATAATCATCCAATGTAGCATAAAGAAAACCTCAGGAATTAAGATTAACCTAATAACACGAATCGATTTCTCCACCATTGATTCACAAAAAAAAAACACAACTTTATACGAGAAAGACGAACAAAACCTCCAATTCGATAAACCCTAAGCAACTGGTAACTGATTGACGAACAAGTCACGAGAAATCAGATGACAAGGCAAAGGAATTTCCGGGCAAGAACATAGAAAAACTAAACAACGGGATTGAAGGAAGCGATTTGAAGAAGATGCAGGAAAATTACCAAAAACATCAGAGACGAGAAGAATCGCACGGGATGAATCAGGCGAACCAACTATATAGGCATCGAGGCCACCGAGCTTCTCGACATGACCCGACCCGGATTTCGGATTCAGGGTTGGTGGGTTTTCGCAGCACTGAGGGCCCGACATTTTTCACCAGCTATAGGAAACAGAACAGAGGAACCAAATTCAACAACTCATGCTTTTTGTCTTGCTCTCCCTCCTCCATTTATATAAGCAATGGGTTTTGAGAATCTTCTCGAAAACATTTCTCTCTCACACACACACGCCACAAAATATATATTTGTATATATACGTTTGCGTGTGATGAACACAAACTCAATTTTTTTTATATAATTCAAAGAATCATGTTTAGAATTTTGATCTCTTTAGAATTTTAATTTTTTGTCAATATGAACAAGTCAAATTTCAATTTTTTTTTTAAAAATTGTTATTATATTGCAGATCATTTGGATATAAATAAAATTAGTTTGTGTTCTTTTTTTTCTTTGAAGAGTAGAATATTGATTTTTTTTAGTAAGATATAGTCTTTTTTATTAAGTGAATTTTGAATGGGTGAAAATCAACAACACCATTATTTTTTTTATGGACCAGAAGATGTCCTGAATAGTATTCAATTATAAACGACACTTTTAAATTTTATACATTCAAATTAATCTTCATTCGTGGACCGTCGGCCCACTCAACGGTAAAAAAAGTTTGAGCATTACCATTATTGTATTACGATATTCTCGTGTAAATATTAGAACATTGGATATGTATTGGCAGTATTGCCATATGTAGGATTAGGTTTACATACGGTACAAAATATCTACAGAGTTTATACATACGTCAACTTTAATCTTTGGTCTATCATTCTATACAAACTCTGTAGATATTTTGATTGGTGGAACGAAATACATTGGTTTGCTCTTTTGATTGAGCATAATTAAGCCTTGGACACATATTTCATCAAATCTTTTGGTCCGAGTTCTGTAAATTATGTTTAAAAGATTTCGCGTTCGTGAATCGTAAAAAAAAAAATCTCGCATTCCACGAAAAATTAACCTGGTCAGTTTAACTGGTGGAACGGAGCGCAAAGCGTATGTCCCGTCCCGAGTTTGAATCCTAAACTGGAACAGGAGTGCATAATTCAAATCACATGGCTGGTTTCCGATCCCGGAATTAGTCTGGGTTTCGGTTCAGAAAACTCGGTTACCAAAGATTTCGCGTTCTTGAGAAAAAAAGATCTCGGGTTCCACAAGAAATTAAGGGAGTAAAGAGAAAAGACCCATTAATTAATATGTGAGAATTAATTCCAATCTAAAACTTAAAAAAAAAACATATCCAAAAATGCTCAAAACCGTAAAAAAATCAAAACCTAACAAAAAAACGAAGTAGGGTTTCTTCTGGAATGAAACTAACTACGAGTTCGAGCAAGCCGTAGAGGATGTCGATGATCAGACTAGTTCGACGGCAGCTGCCGTCTTGCGGGCGGCTTCATCGTGATCGCCCATGAACTTGCTCCAGACAGGATGAAGCTTCCAGACACGGTCGACCATGGCGTCGATGGGGACGTTCTTGGTCTCGGGCAAGAGGAAGAAGACGAAGAGAGCCATGAGGAGGATCCAGGCGGCGAAGAAGAAGAAGATGAAAGCCCTCATGCGGCAGAGCATAGAGAGAAAAGCCTGAGCGATGATGAAGGTGCAGATCATGTTGGTGCTGACCGCGCATGCGTAGCCTTCGGTCCTCATCTCCAGCGGAAAGGTCTCGCTCGGAATCAGCCATCCCATCGGGCCCCATGACCATGCGAACGCTATCACGAACATACACACCAACACCACCACCACTATCCCCATCCCCACTGTCAGCGTGTTCGCCTCCTTCAAGTATCCCAGCAGCAGACCCCCTATTATCACCTGGGAGATGAACATGATGACGCAGGCGGCGAGGAGCAACATCCGGCGGCCGGCCTTGTCGACGGCGAAGATAGCGAGGAGAGTGGCGAGGACATTGAAAGCGCCAGTTATTACAGAAGAGTAGAGAGAAGCTCCGCTCTTCATTCCAACTGTCTGAAATAGGACAGGAGCATAGAACATGATGGAGTTGATGCCAGTGAACTGCTGAAAGACCTGAAGCATCACTCCGATTACTAGCGGAGGCCAGTTCGAACGCTTCTTCGCCATCTCCCAGAACGATCCCTTCGCTCTCTCCGCCTTCTCGCATGCCTCTTTGATCTCCTCAAACTCCTCGTTCACGTCCTCCACTCCCCTAATCTTCTTGAGAGCCTCACGGCCCTTGGACTCGTGGCCGCGTTGGACGAGGCTCGTTGGTGTCTCCGGGATTACGAACGATCCGACGAAGAGAAGGACCGCCGGTAAAGCAGCCACACCGAGGGAGACTCTCCATCCGTGAGGGTGAAGGAACGAGGTGCCGTAGTTTACAAGATTGGCGATCAGGATGCCGATGGTGATGAAGAGCTGAAACATGATGTTCACCGATCCACGTCTCTTCACAGGAGCAACCTCCGACAGGAACAGCGGAACCGACTGTCGCGTATATGCATAAAAATCAAGAATCTGAATCAGTAAATACACGAGAAGATCATCGATCGAATATTCAAAAGGAGGGAATCAAGGGTTAGATACCTCGTTGCCGAATCCAACGCCGAATCCGAGGAAGATACGTCCGAAGATGAGTATCCAGAGGGACTGAGCGGAGGCACTGAGAGCGGCTCCGATGAGGAAGAAGATGGAAGCTAAGAGAATGGTGAGTCTCCGGCCGAACTTGGAGCAACACTTGGACGCTCCGAAGCTGGCAACGACCGCAGCAAGATACAGAGAGGAAGTGAACAGCTGAAGCAACTGGTCGTCGAATTTGCAGTAGTTGTTCTCCTTCGCGTGCATCTTCCTCTCGTACACCCTCGGGAAGAACTTTACCAGGAAATCATTCATCGCCGTCACTCCTCCTGCGATTAGGGTTTCGGTTACTTGCGTGGAAAGTAAACAGAAACAAAAGCAGTGTACAATAACTGAAGAAACCAGTACCTGAGATGCCGATGTCGTAACCGAACATGAGGCCTCCGCAGGCGGCGAAGCACCAGCAGAAGATGACGTAGATCGAACTCTTCGATGTCTGATCCGTCCTCATCTTTGACGTGAAAAATCTCAGAACACAATTGGAAAATCCTCAGAGCAGACAGTGAATGTGAGTTTGAGAAGAAGGAAAGAGATTCTCGACGGTTTCGATCGAGGGGTGTGTGGTCTTATTTATAAGAGGCTTTTGCCTGATTTGACCAAGGATTAGAATTTTAGGGTTTAAGGAAGGAAACGTACGTGGAGGATATTACAATTAGGAAACTAATTTTGATTAGGACTCCTAATTGCTCAAGGATTAAGAAACCTGATATGGATAGAGTTTGATAATAGATTTACAACATTATCTTCGTCACCCAATTATTTTTTTATAATTATATTTACCAAAAAAACATCCAAATTCAATTTTTTTTATATGTAATCTAAATTTGTTTTTTCCTTTTCCCTCTAAAACTGTAAATCCTAGGTAATTAATCTGCTGTGTTCATAAAGTTTAGTGTAACTAATTTTACAAAGGAATGAATATTGCGAGTTATAAAACCTTTACAATTTCATTAACTAAATATCTGTTTATTTGATATTTAAAGGCTAGTTAATTGGATGTAGCCATGATTCCAATTACAAAGACTGTTAAAATTTGCCATGAAAAGACTGTTAAAGGGTAATAACAAAAAAAAAACTTGCGGTTGTATAATAATTAATTCTGATTTTTTTATTGGATAAAGAAAAATAAAAGGAAATATTCTGCATAAATTTCATCAACAAGGAAAAGAACGTAAACCCAGATATATGAAATAAAAAAAATATATTTTTTTTCAAGATCGCAATATATATTTAAACTTTTTCAAATCCTCTCTATACATTATACAAATACAATGCCCTGTTACATTCATCCAAAAAGAGAAAAACAAAGAATCACTCGAAGCAACTAAACTCTGCAACTCTCTGTATTTCTGACAGAACACAAAAAAAGGACAAGGTCATGAGATGATGATGATGATGATGATGTCGGAAGGAACGGAGATGGAGGACGAAATCAGAAGCAGGAGCCATAGCTCTGATCCCTCCCATGGCGAGCAACTCAAAAGCAAGCTCCTCTTTCCGCCATTGACGCAGACCTTCGCTCACAGTCTTCAACGCCTCCACCTCCATCTCCTTCACCCATTCGGGCAAACATCTCACCATCAAACTCACCAATCCCGATACGTACGTCCTCCAAGTCTCGCTCTCGCACCCTACCGCTACTTTCCCATCCATGGCACTCGCTATGAACGCCATGTGGCTCCTGAGTATCCTGGGCCTCCGTCTCGAAGCGGACGAGGCCGAATCCACTCCCCAAGCCAATGATCCGCAAAGGACTATGAAGTGAGCGAGTGCATGCCCTCGTAGCTCCGCTACTAGACCAGAAGGCAGTCCTCCTCCTACTGGCTCGTGGTCCGGCCTGTGTACGATCAGAAACCAAGACGGGAGGATCTCTTTGATGAGTAGATGGACCACTCCTAATCCGCCGGTTAGCCATACCAAGGAAGCGCTGAGAGAAGCCGCGAGCTTTACTCGAGCCATCGCTCTTGCAAGCGATGCCTGGTTGTATCTTTTCCCGTTCGAGAGCCCATTCCGGGAGATTTCAGTGATGGAATGAACCAAAAGGGAGAAAATCTCCTCGGAAACGAAGGCGGTATCTCTCAGAGAACGGTGCATACGTAGGTAGAGGATCCCAGGTGCTACGGGGGAGATCCCGCCGTAGAAATGAGAGCCAAAGCCATGGCCAAGAAGAGCTCCAACTCCGCCGTCATTGGAAATGGGTGTAGCGTTCAAACCGAGGGTGGCACTGAAGCAGTTCCGAAGGAGCTGAACCACAGCATCTCGGTCGTGAAGGAAGACGGTACGAGATGCCGAGAAAACGAGGAAGTCGAACCACCGTTTCGCCTTTTGCGTCCATAACGAAGTGACGATGGGCATGCACGGCCATGGACAACCTGCAGCGAGACACTCGAGAGCCGGGCCGGCTAGATTCAGAAACCTCTCCGAGGCTTTGTCGATTTTGTAAGTTATGGTTAGACTTACAAAGGCGGCTAACGGTAAAGGAAGCGTAGCCGGAGAACTCCCTCCTGCCGAAATACGAGCAAGAATCGAACCGTAAAGTTCAGAAGAAGACCAAGATAAAATACATTTAAACCGAGAATTGAAGCAAGCAGACCTGGAGCAAGGCTAGGGATGTCGACGCTTGTTGTTGCAAGAATCTTCTTCATATATTCCTCGACATTGGATAGATTCGCAGCGGGACTCGGCCAATCCATGCCGTTCATGAAAACCGGCTTCCATACGCCTCTACTCACCTCGGCCGAGAAGTAGCTTACTATAGGCGCCAATGACGCGGGCAGAAAATCCGCTAAATCTTTCAAACCTAAAACATCAAAAACGGTTTTTAAGGTTTGGAACACGATAACGAAATCGTAGAAAAGTCTCTTTCCAATCAAGATTTACGCAAACCTGTAGCAAGCTCGCGAGGAGAGAGCCTTCCATGGGAGCAAGCCGTCAAAGCAGCATCAACAACGTAAGGAACAGCTTCGAGAATGTCCCAAGCAGGAAGCATCGGTCTTAGAGAGCTGTCTTCGCTTCCAGCTCCCGAGGAACTACTGGTACCCGAGTTCAAATTCTGACCACCTCGATTAGAAACCTTTCCGAACATCATGTTGAGAAGTGATTCAACTGTCCGGTGAACAGAAGATCCATGGATGAGGCCAGAGAGTGTTGCAGCTATACATCTCTGATGTTGCCTATGCCAGACTTTTAGCTTCGGGAACGAGTCAACAAAAACGGGTTTAGAAGACGATGACTTGGAAACTTCCGAAAGTCTCTTCTTGTTTCGATCTCTATGAACGTTTTCAGATGGCACGAGATGGGAATTACGGACTAAGAGAAGGTACTCAGGAGTTAGCTGTGATCCGACTGTGGGTACGTCTCCTACACCGTGCTCGATAGGAGCATGGTTGAATCTCCATAGCTTTAACAGAAGAGTGAAAGCATTCGAGAAAACGCAATGGGCTGAAATGTCTTCTCCCGTAGGAAGTTTCCACGACACATTTGGCGTGTATGATCCAAACTCTTCGCATACCGGCATGATCGAGCAAGCGAGTTGTGGAACCTTAAAAACAAAAACATAAGAATCGAAAATATTGAAGAAAACTCGACTTCGGATTGCAGAAAACGCGTACCATTCCATGTAAAGAGAATATCTGAATGCAGTCGACAGATCCAATCCCGACAATAAGAACATTTAGCATGGGGGCATAACCAATCAAGTGACTCTCAGTTCCAGAATAATCCGCTGGAACTGGTGGAGATAGTAATCTTGTAATGAACTGGACAGTATGCTCCTGCACATCAAGTCAAACATGTCAAGGGACAGACTTTTTGGTTCTTGCAAAAAAATTGACTGAATCTTCAACGGATCCGATGCCAACCTGTACGTTCCAACCCCGAGTAAGGGATGCCCCGCAAAGAACGGTTGCAGCAGATATCTTCTCATCTTCCGA